ATGCACATCACACTCAAAAGATGCAATCTTTCTTTAGATTATTGGTCGCCAAAAAGAGCCGCTGGCTTCTTTTCGGAAATGGTAGAAAGGCTGGTGAATTCTGGAAAATCTCGTCGTCCCAAATCCTACTTGCCGTAACCTTAGGATACGAAGCTCTCTCACCAAGCAAATGTGAATTTCGTGGTCAGCAGGTTAGATAACCTCTACAAGCAAGTTTTCCAAGAAGTTCGGGTCATCTGATTTTTTTCGTTCTACCGTCTGAAGCTCGTCGATGGATTTTCGTGAAAAGTTGGTGACTTTACGAGGGAAGGATACCAGATTGCAGTGGAATCGAAATGGTATGCAGACTAGAAGATGCGTCTTGACTTGACCATTCCAAATTCAACTTCCATACCTGCTAGACACTCTCAAAGAGAAGTTATGAGCGTTTGAATGCCCAAGTTTGGCAAACATCCGATACCACATCTTCGAGAACCACTGATTCGAAAACACTGATTTTTGTGTTCAGTTTATGTATGCACTCCTCGTGGTAATTGCACTCACAAGGGAAGTTCGCCGAATCGAAATGGCCGATTGATACGTGGTATATACCCGGACGCGGGGCTCGGGAGGTTAGTATCAAATGTGCGCCCATTAGCTGCGACGCGTTATTGTGAAGCAAGTTATGGCCCTCTGAATTTTTTGGCGTGTGCATGTCTAGAGAACGCACAAATGTTCCGACTGTGGTCGTGTGGTGTAGTGGTTAGCGTCTCGGACTCACAGGTGACCGGCGAGGGTTCGAATGCTGTTGCTGCCCACATGTTTGGCGTTCTTCTCAAAATTCATTTTTTACCTGTTTTATGCATTACTGATGTAAAAAATGACACATACGGGTGGTTAAACTCTACTAATTATACATCCTGCTGTGTCATTCTCACGAGGTAGCCCATTAGCAAAAATCAATACGACGTGATACAACTTGGAGATTGTCAATTAAATACTACGTGCAATCGAAGAAAGTATGTGGGAGTGAGGATTTGGCAAATCTTCAAAGTCAATTGAAAAGCCTCGCTAAAAAGTCGTTGCTATATACTTTGAAAATTTTACATATGAAGCATTGGTCGAATTTTCGTGAGAAAAATCATCCCGTAACCCGTGTGTGTCATTTTATACCTCAATAATACATAAAACAGGTAAAAAAATGATTTTTGAGAAGAACGCAAAATGTGTGGACAGCAACAGCATTCGGACCCTCACCGATCACCTGTGAGTCCGAGACGCTAACCACTATACCACACGACCACAATCGGAGCATTTGTGCATTCTCTAGACATGCACACGCCAAAAACTTCAGAGGCCCATAACGTGCTTCACAATAACGCGTCGCAGCTAATGGGCGCATATTTGATTAACCTTCCGAGCCCCGCGCCCGGGTATATACCACGTATCAAACGGCCATTTCGATTTGGCGAACTTCCCTTGTCAGAAACATGAAAATTAGTCGCGCCCAAGCTGGTTTTCGAAGCACATTGCGCATCAAAATTCCAGTAACTCATATCTTTGACCGCCCATAACTTTTTTAGAGAAGCTCTTAGCAGATAAGAAGGGTAGACTTGGCATTAGCTTATTAAGGTGCGTCTAATGATATGCATATCATTTCGGTTCGCCATTGCGTCCTGGTATCCTTCCCTTGTTAGATTGAGAAAAAAACTCCGCTCAGAGAGGTTTTCGAACAATTTGTTTATGAAAATCGTGATTTCTATGGAGTACAGGGTCTTTTTGCAGCGATATGGTGAGGTAACTGTAACTGAACTGGTTCGTAAATTCACCTGGACCTCTCGCGTATTCATTACAATACTTGCCTGCTTTCTGTTATGAGTTACAGTTACTAGGAACTGCGCTATCAAACGGTGCATGTCTCAGGATCCAACCTATAACAACCCTGGAGTTGCGAGCCTACGACATCACGTCCTCGTGAATTTTGCTCAAAATGTAAAATCAAAGCAGCATCGTGGCATAACTCAGACCCGTTTAACTACCAAATCCAACACAGAAAAATCCATTAAGCGATGTGAAGAGATTTAATTAGCGTGTTGTACAACCACTCGCGGTAGAATTTCAACGGAGTATGCGATCTTTACCTTTTGGGCAAAATTCATGAGGACGTGTTTTCATAGGCTGGTAAATCGACGATTTTTACAGATTGAAGCCTAAGGCCTTAGGCATACCTCCAGCGATCCAGTCGTCACGATTTTCGATCGCTGCGATTAGACTGCCTGGGTTACCGTCCGTTGCGTCAAAATCGCCCATCGCTCGACTTTTGGACATACCCGTAGCGATTTTGGGAACGCTCACACACCACACCGCATTATACGCAGTTTTGGAAAACTTGCGCTAAAATCTCTGAAGTGCATCTATTCGAGAGAACTCGAGCAGAATGTGGCGCCATGTGCTTCAAGAGAACATCACATCAAACAAGAAAGGATATGGATTCACACACATCCCAGTATTTATCAATGTCTACTGGCGCAAGTTTAGTAGTTACATCTGCGACGAAATCGACTAGTTCATAAAATTTTGAGTTCTCTTTCAGTAACTGGTAGGCATATAGGTTAGCTTTGTTGTAAAATCATTCTTTTGTCTTTGTAGAAAATTCTAAGTAGGCTATTTCAACAACGAGTGCTGGGCGAGCTCTTGTCTGTCAATCTGCGAACGCATACAAATCATTCAATTCATTCTCTGACTTAAAGACACCAGCAAGCTTTGCGTACGTTTAATTAACATTACGAGTAAGGTTCTTGGTGACATGTTCAAGCTCGTAAAACAACGCGAGTTCGATCATGTTTATGCACAAATTCCCAATAGTGACTCAAATCGCATTAAAATGCACCAGCAACTCATAAACGGGACGTACGCGAAGCGTGCTCGTGCCTCTTAGTCAGACAATGAACGATATATACTCGATATCATCCCATATGTCTTCCCTCAACATGACGTGGATTATGTGGCTTGATGAGGCGCCGCCTCGCCTCGGGCTCGCGCCACGTTGCGAGCGCATCATTTGGCGCGACGTGGCGCTCAACACAACGTGGCGCAGGCTTTTCCACGTTCTTCTTGATGCCACATCACGCCGAAAAGGCGCGCGCAACGTGGCGCAAGCCCAAGGCGAGGCGGCGCCTCATCAAATCACGTAATCCACGTCATGTTGAGGGAAGACATATGGGATGACATCGAGGGTATGTCTGAACGACCGAGATTGCACATCTATTCTATCCACTTCGGAAATTATAGTAGGAACATTTGAGATTCGGTCACTACTTGTAATCAATAAACAAGAACAGGAAAAGATTAATACATTGCGAGAACAGTAAATGCTAAAGAAGAGGGTGAGGCGACATGTGGGAAACATTCCATACTACATAACTCGCATGTGTTGTTTTCAAGGACTAATAGTATGGAATTTTCGATGACCATCCTTCTCCCATGCAGATAGGAAGCGCTTGTGTAAGATGGGATAGTCCTAAATGAAATTTGCATTGGCAAAAAAACACAAAACTTCATGACAAACAAGAAGCTATCCGAGCGATTCGCTCATCGCTGGGTCGAACCTAGCGACGGCGACATCGCTGAGTTTCAGCGATGTCGCGACGATTTCCCTGCCGAGGTATGCCCGTCCAAAAACGGCCCGCGATCCGTCGCGGCGTCAATCTAACACAGACGCGGCGGGACCACACAGTTGCGCTGCGGACTCGGAACATATGTCCGATGTGGAGTTTGAGACGCGACTGGGATCGCGGGAGGTATGCCTTAGGCCTAAGACATGCACCGATCGATGGCACATTTCCTAGTAATTTTAACTATAAGAGAAAGCAGGCAAATATTGTAATGAATACGCGAGAGGTCAGGTGAATTTACGAACTTTCATAGTTCAGTTACAGTTACCTCATCATATGTCTGCAAAAAGACCCTGCACTCCATAGAGATCAAGATTTTTATGAACAGAATGTCCGAAAATCTCTCTGATCGGAATTCCTTTCAATCTGAGATCATAAACAATCCATCGGCGAGCTTCACAGCGTAAAACAAAAAAAAATCAGATGACCCGAAGTTCTTGGGAAACTTGCTCCTAGAAGCTATTTAACCTACTGATCAAGAGAATCACGTTTGCTTGGCGAGAGAGCTTCGTATTTTAGGGTTACGGCAAGAGGGCATGGGACGACGGGATTTTTCCAGAATTCGTCAGTTTTTCTATTATTTCCAAAAAGAAGCCAGCGGCTACTTTTTAGCGACCGATAAATAATCTACAGGAGGACTGCATCTTCTAAGTGTGATGTGCACTGCGTTACACCCTTCCGAACATATGTCCGCAAAAAATCCAAGATTATTAGAAACGGAATTTTCGAAGACATGCTGACTACCAGAAGACTCTCCTTGACAACCAGAACAAAATGCTTCTTTCGGATTCAGAATATATTCATTCCCAAGGAAGTTACGGCGCTGCGTAGTTTGCGTAATTCGCGTTGATTCCGCGGAATTTCCGAAATTCCGCGACATTCACGGGAATTTTGTACATTCTGTGAGGGCATTGTACCTTTCCCTAGCAGAAAGTTTTTGATCGAAGTTCTATTGTGCAGATGGTTTAGCAGTGGCAGCGATATAAAAACGCGGATACTCGAATGTTTCAAGATAAGCTAATGGGGTGTGGCACCACTCTAAAAAGGTGAGGCAGCCACAGCCTTTTACCTTTAAAGAGAATTATACAAAAAGCAGAATCTCGTAGTTTCTGTAGAAGTAAACAAAGTTGGGTCCGTTTTATTTCGTTTGAGCAATAGTTGCTGGAACAGGGCCCGGCACGAGCTTGTCAAAAGAGGCTTTCGAAAACGAATTCCCCTTTGACCCGAAATTTTTCTACGAATTCCCCTTTGACCCAAAAATTGATCCCAATGATTCTGCAGTGGACACTTTACCCAAAACATACAATTTATTGAGAAAATCTTTATAGACACTTTATGCATGACACTAAAAAATTATTCATTCACCAAAAACAGAACAAGTATGCACCAAAAACACAAATATAGAGATTATAGAGATTATAGTAAAGATCTGCAAGAGATCAAGAGTAAGAGTATGTATATAAGAGTTTGTAAAGAAGCATAGTAATAATAACCTTGCTCTGTGACCTCAAATTTCTCTTGATGATGCATGCTACTTAATTGTGTTGGATTGAAGGTTGGGGCTTCAAAACATCACAACTTTTCCTTCACATGATTGAAACCAAGCAAGTGATCCTGAAAATTGTTGCATATGTTCCCGAGACAATACTGTAGGATAGAAGCAGACGAAATGTGAATTATTTCTTAATGAAAATCATACTTACACTCCATAAATTACGTTCACAGATACAAAAGTCGTAGTTTCCAGTTAGATCAAAACAATCAATGTAGAAAATTGGCATAATTGACATAAACGTACCATACCTCCACTAAGTTATCAGCAAGATTCCAGTTGATAGATATTGGCAAACTCGTAGTAACTTCGCGAGTATTCGGTTCATCCTTCAATTACAAAGATTTAATAGCAAGCAGCCAAAAAAAGATTCCAATATGTACAGCCAAAGCTCACTATCTCACCTGGCATTTTCCGATGAGCGGTTTGTTTAGTTGAAAAAAAGCTGTTGGCTTGAAACCGTCAATACGTTGATAGAGCGCTCTTTCTAGGCGTTTCGTATCAGACTTGCAGCGACTGCCAGAGAAGAGAGGTAGATCTGAAGCAAAAACTCCAATTGAAATTGTTTATCAATATGATTACCGTCAGTGAATAGAGAAAGCAGTCCTCCTTGCAGTTCCAAAACATACCAGCGCAACATTTTATCGCTGCAGACATCGAGCGCAAACGCTTTCCTCCCATAACACCATCGATAGTCTGGGGTAGAGTGTTTTGGGGTACCCAGTACGGTACCCATACCTGAAAATAGCGTGTGACTTGCCTGACAGAGGAAAAAGGACAAGAATTAACCTCTCCAAGAAAACCCCTCCTTATGCTACTTCATCTATGTCTGCTTAGCTTTTTTCTCTAAGCGGAACCTCCTATTTTGATCAGGCTATGGTGTGCATCAGAGACAAGACGGAGATTTGTGAGCATTCAGGCTCCTTCTTGCATTGTCATTTAAAAAATACATCTCACAAGGGAGTTTTAGCGAATGCTGCATATTAGACAGTGAGCTATGAGAGCATTATTCAAAAATTTATGCAATCTAACAACAAGGGCTCAGACTTTGCCCAAAATTTGTTTAGCAGACACAAAAAGTGGCAGATTTGAAATATTAATCCGAAGCGATCATTATAAATTGCATCCGATCAAAACTTCGCGAGTTCTGTCAATCCCTTCTGAAGAGTACATCACAGACGTATGAAAGTTGCTAGTACAGTCAAGTGAAAGAAAAAAAAAGTAAGAAATGAAACTGACCATTCTCCACTTTGAACGAAGAAATCTTTTGGTTTCGGCTTCTTTTGCATTGGCAAGAGTCACATCATTCAGGGAGTAAACGCGGGCATCTTCACATGGGGCAGTATTGACAAACATGTGGAAAGAGAGGCCCTTTCGCAATGCAAGCTTTCCTGCAACAATAGTAGTTGAATGATGACATTGCCCTTCAAACGCAGTAGTTTACCAGGGCTGTTATTTTTCACGAAGATTGAGGATCTTTTGCGTACAGCAAGACTTGAGCATACAGAAACCTAATAGAAGAGATTAGAAAAAACACTGAATGAGAATTAGAGTTACTAACCGCAACAATGTTCTTCGTGCGATAACCTCCGCATGGCTCATTCACGCTGCAACCATGTAGACTTAGACAGTCCCCTAAACAACAGTAGAATCCTCAGAAATTTATTAAGATGCCAACCACAACCTCTGAGACCCTTGTTCCCTGTCGCCAAAGAGATGATTTCCGCACTGCTGTTCTGATTGGTTCTCGTAGCCAAGAATATGCTTGCAATCACTTTATCAGAAAAATGCTTTCTGGCTGGGGAAAGCTGAGTCTGAAAAAAACACTATTAAGACAGTTTATTGACCGGCTTTCCGAAAAGTCAATCCCCGTAAAAGATGGAAGTCCACAAAAAAGTCAAAGGCTTTGACTTGACTGCCACTGCAGATAAGCCAGAAGCTAAAACAACAGCCGTATACTGAGGAGACGTTACCTCTAGCAATGTTGGGGTGAAGGAAAAAGGCAAAAATGGGTTTCGTGTGGTACATACCAATAAAATTTGAATAACGCATGCATACGTGGCACTCAAGAAAGTGTGGCAGTCTAGAACTGCCACACTTTCTTGAGTAAATATATCCAAGAAACGAAAACAATGCCAAAACGTCAAAGCATAGAAAATGACCACCAAAACCCACTTGTAGAATTTTGAACAGGTATGCTTGAGAAGAAGCTCGAAAAACGTGGTTTCCTGCTTTAATTCTATATCCATCGAGCACTTAGCAATCTCCATTGAGAACTGTTCACAGAGAATCTAAGAAAGTTATGAAACTGAGAGAATTGGGTGAACTCTCCAGATATGACCTTGATGCCTTTCACGAAGCAGTCCATTTTTACAACCCTTTTCGTACGATGAGGAAACCTGTCACCTCTATGTCACCAATGCGGACAGAAGCTGCGAACATGAACCTAAAGGAGTCATTGACGACGATGCATTGGATACGACACTTCACTTACGCTCCCTTCGTTTCACCCGGGATCAGTTGAACAAAAACTTTTGGTGATTACCTATATAAAATAAGTGAGTATAAGGAATATCACAAAATAGCAAGACAGAGCTCCTTATTCATACTGATTTTTACATATATGGTCACTTGTGGAGGAAGAGAGAAAAAGGAAGGTCATGTTATTCACCGAAAAGCAAGCCAGAATAGAAGAACTTGTGAATCGAAAGCGCACTTACTTGAATATCTGCACATACACCTCCAAAAACCGTGAAATGGGATTTTTTCGACCTGCAAACGAAAATGATCTTCTAGTAGAGATACAAAATAAGAAGTGACGAATATTGAAGCGGCGCCGATTGTAGGACTCAAAGACGCCGATGAATTGGAGCGCGCTTTCCTCCTTAGGAAACGGGGCTGCTAGGCTATTTTTGCCTCTAGCAATGAGGAGTGGGGGAGGTTTGAAACCAAATTTTCATTATGTACTAATCCTTAGGTGTAGAGTAGATTTATGTAAATATTTTGGAAAACTTATGTGAATTGAGAGTTTTGCCAAGCTCAGCTTGTCATTAGCTTGTCAAATGACAAGCTAATTTGGAAACAAGTTGGGGAAACTCTTCATTCACATAAGTTTTTCATAATTTTTCATACTTTGTTACTTAGTCCTACTGCGCATATACACACCGAATCCCGCGCGATTTCGTCGCCTCTGCGTTGCAAACGAGCCATTTTTCCATTTCTTTGGTAGCGGGAAATTTTCAGAAAAAACTTTGCCACAACCTTCAGTCACATAATTTTTCAATGAAACTCCTAAGTTAGCTCCTACATGCTTGTGTCCACGTGCGTACCAAGTTTCATACCATATCGTCATCTGCGCGTTGCAAACGAGCCATTTGAATTTACAACTTCATTTACCAATTTTGCAAAATCTTTGGAAAAAATGCTTATTACTCGTCCCGTTTACATAAGTTTTTCATAATTTTTCATACTTTGTTTCTACTAGCCTCTCTCCGTTCGCCTACAAAATCTGGTGTCATACCGTGACGCGTACATTGAGAACTAGTCATGTATGCCGTTACAAATAGCTCTTTTGAGCGACGTCGCGCGTGCGGCAATTAGCGACGGCGCGGTTTGACGCGCGCGAACTCCAGTCTTCGCATGTTGAGGCACATAACATGTTAAAATAAGCAGAAAACGTGCACTACCAATTTTTTTTTCCGGGGCTCCGCCCCGGACCCCGCAAAAACGATTTCCCCTTTGCTTTTTTGGCCGAAAACGATTTCCAGCTTGTCATTTGACAAGCTCGTGCCGGGCCCTGTGCTGGAAACACAACCAGTGTAAGCGAAAAATGGGACAAACGAGATTTTGGCCGGCTCCTAATTCCATAGTTTGATGGTTATTCGAAACAGGAATCTTGGTATGGGCAAATAGGAAGTAGTGCTTTGCATTGAGTGCAAAAATAGATAGCTAATTCACGTTTTCCATTCGAAACTGGACTAGTCGTTTTCCACCTTTGCAATCATTTTTATTCGTCAACCGGTGCTATAACGCGGAATGATTTCATCGTTCCAGCAGAGCCTAGCAAAATTGAGCTTATGCATCGGGATATCAAATGTTACAATAATTCGAAGGTGCGGCATATTAGTCTTGCAACTCAAGATCTCTCTTTGTGTGCACTCGTTCGGACTTGAAAATCAGTTGGTGACGTTCAAAGGTGAAAGTGCAGCGTGATACAAGATTACTGGAAGAAATTTGCCTTCACGTAACAGACCCGGGATACAGTTTAGTTTGAAGCGACGACGTCAACCATGTTTCTACAAACGTAATCGCTTAGCTGTAATGTTTAATCTATTGCACAAAATTAAGTTTTCTATTTTATATAGTGTGTCGACAAGGCAATATCCAATTTGTATTAACAATTTATTTTTGAGCGATTCTTCTGAATCCTGTATACGTCCCAAATTTCGACTAGATCAGGCTCTTGCGCTTTCCTGAAAACTTACAAATTAGCGACTATCAGATGCTATTGTCGAATTGTTGGCCGCAGGGACTGCCTAAACACTGTGGAGCGCACGCGGCGCGGCTGAATTGTTGCGAGAGCACGACTTGTGCAATGGCGAATTTGTATCGAGGTAAGCGTTCTACTTCCTCCGCACTAATGTTCAGTCCGTGCGGCTAACGAATGCCCTATACATCTTTCAGGGTCGGCTACGACAAGGCATGAGAACTCACCCCTTCAAAGAGGAAAAAGCGGAGAAAGTGTTACTAAATTTGAGATGTTTAACCTCCTTATCCTGAACTCTTGCATGACCTGTAAAACAAGTTTTCACACAGAGAAATCATGATGTGTTACGATGTTTACTGCAAAGGTTTTTTTTTGAGAATGCGAAGGTTTGAAAGAAAACGGAACTTAAAATCTTTTTTTTTTCTACTGTTGCCATTTCTCCTTAAAAACATTGCTTTCCCAAAATATACACTTAGTCTGACGAATACGAATCCTTCAGATGAAGCTCCTATTCACGCGGGACAAGACGGTTACGTAAACAGCAATCGTGTTCACTTCTTCCGTAGTACTGAACCTCTTACTGTATATTCTTGACACAATCAATCATGGTGCATTACAGTAAAAGACACGCCTCGTCAACTTGAGTAATAGCCTTTTTTGATGCGAAAATAACAGATTCTAAGGGAGATCTTCAAAGGTCTCCAAGTGATCACTCGAATAGCAGCAAGAATATTGAGTGTACGGCAAACTTACCGCTCTGCGGAATTCCTTCTCCCAGCGTTCTCTCTGAAATGATACCTTCGTCATCAATAGTTACTATAGGCTATCCGATTGCGCGCAGAATGCGACGATGTTGCTTCCCATGATAGAGCAGAAAAGAGAGAGAAGCTAGAACGGCAAAGTGCACTGCAGAACTTGGCACAGGTGGCTTACGAAGCAGGCTAGATGTTGGTGGGGGGGGGGGGAGGGGAAGCAAAGGGGATATTTTTTTCGGAATCCGGAGCGAAGCCCGTATCGGAGCGAAGCGCTTAAAAAAAGCATACATCACCTTGGCTTGCTCTTTATAAAAAATTCTCCAATCCCTTTGGGCAAAATCAGAGTCTCTGACAAAAAATTAGATAACTAACCAAGTTTACGCCGACCCACTCAACAAATTTTTGCACCTTTCCGCCTAACAAACAGAACTTTGTTATAAAACAAAATACCCCAATACTAATGTTGTATGAGTCGCACACTAACGTACTTCAAACTTTCATTCCCTCTCCCCACAGTCACCCTCCATCCTCCCTTTTATTCCACCTCCTTATCTTTTGGAGACGTGAAAGTGCTACCACTGCCTTATCGCTCCTATTCGCTACAAAACTTTTAATTTCCCACTCTCCGCGCAAGCGCTGGAATTTAAAAATGCGCCCCGAAATAAACAAAAGGCTTGTTTAGAGCGAAGAGCAAATGATATAACATCGGAATTGATGCGTAGATGCGCGATAGGGATTTAGAATTACAATGGAAAATCACGAAAAATTTAGGTAAACTGACGACGTGGCAAACTTTTCCCGGAGTTAGGTGGCTTTCGAGCCACCTGGAGAGCCAACTGATGTTGCTACAGTAGAGTCATAAATTTTACTTCCTTCATATAATGGTTTCAGGCTTCCATAACTTTTCTACATCCAAAAATCTACAGCTTAGTTTTGAATCTCCGCAAACCCTTTCTTCCCGTCTAGTTAGCCCTCCAAAGATTTTGAATGGCGTGTTATAATGCTCCAAGCGCGCGGTAGTGCGCGCCGGAGATAGTATGCTCACTATCTCGGAAAATTTGAACATCATCAGGTTTTCCATCTCAAGTTTAATGCCGTATTTGTATTCTATTCTGTTTTCCTCTGATATTTTCTTTCATAAGCGTTTTATAGAGATGTCTATTTTTGCTACGAAGTCAGCGAAACTCTGTTTTCCAAACATGCTAAAGCCACCTCGTGCCGAGCCTTGGTGCACTAAAAAGAGTGAAGCGCGAATTTGCGATTCCGCGAACAATCAGATAGTCTACAGGTGTATTTCGGTTGAAGATCGTAAACTCACACTTTTGGAGCTATTAGAGGTACTGGATTTTCTCTGAAACAAATTTTATAATCTGCTGCAGGATGAGGTTGCAGAAAAAATATTTGTTAAGAGAGCGAGAACATGGTGCGCGTAGCTACATACACCTTGTAAGCCCCGCGTCTCATGCGCCCTGCGGCTAATGGAATCACTTCATACTGTTTTGCGCCTTCGTCACATTAGGCTTTTTATATAAGCTGAATGTGATTTGTCTGTATGGCTGTCTGTATTATTATAAATACTTAAGAAGGTTCGAATTTCTTATCCAATTTTTGTCCAGTAATACTCGAGAGTTGCAATTGAATATTTGACTATCAATATTATTTGAGAATAGAAAATTTCGAATGTTCGACTATTGGATATTATCCGAAAATAGATTTTCGAATATTCGACTATCCAATTTCATTCAAAAATCGAAATTTTCGAATATTCAATTTTCAAATAATATTGAGTTTTTTCATAATTAATGCACGTTTCCCCATCTCTTCTTCCAAACGTTGATTTCAAAATGCAACCGTTTCTCTTAAAATATTTTGTATTATCTGAAGGTCTGCTTCCTCTAGTTTCTCAGGTATACTTTCGTCTTCGGACGACTTTATTCAAGCCAAGTTTGTCTTGATTTTTTCCTTTCATTCTATATTACTTGCTCTAATCCATGAAAAATGCTCAGACTGTTTCAAAAATATATACTAATGGCGAAGATTTGTGCTACAAAGTGCTTACCAAAGCTAAATATTCAAAAAATCTTGAACGGAGAAGCTTTCACTTACTCGGCTGAATGTTGGGATCATTTTGAGTCGCTTGCAGATAAAATGAACCCCACCAAATTAAAACGGCAGGAATTCCGTGTCTTACAAATGAGAAA